TCGTCAGTCGTCAGTCGTCAGTCGTCAGTCAAGACGGAAACGCAGGAGTGAAAATTCGGACAGTTCTACTTGACCGATACGATTCAAAGTTAGCACGTGGGTCAAGACATGAAGACAATGCAATCTGAAACTAAATTTGACTTAATTGGATGCCTAATTAATTTTTTATGAATTAATTAAAATTTGGACCGAATTAGTAGGCATGTCTAGCCAACCACACCACACGCGTCATCACCTTCAATAGCTTCAATGGCTGCGTTCAAAAACCATTGCGCGCCTACTGAACGTGATGTTCAGTAGGCGCGCAATGGTTTTTAGTCATGTAACTCTATTGTAAATAAAACATGTAAAGTACTGAAAAAAAAATTCATAAAAAACGTTTTAATAACAAGCTTTTATGTAACGATGCACTAAAAAGTAGAAAATAAATTAAAGACTACTATTTAAATAACTATAAAGAAAAGCGTGGGTGTCTTCCTTAACATTAGTAAAGGTATCCAATAGATACTAAAGTGACCCACGCTTTTCTTTATAGTTATTTAAATAGTAGTCTTTAATTTATTTTCTACTTTTTAGTGCATCGTTACATAAAAGCTTGTTATTAAAACGTTTTTTATGAATTTTTTTTACAAGCTTTTATTTAACTCGCTTCCTCTGTCGACAGTCTGTCTGTCTAGATAGAAACGCAGGAGTGAAAATTCGGAAACTTCTACTTGACCGATACGATTCACACTTGGCACGTGGGTCAAGACATGAAGACAATGCCATCTGAAACTAAATTTGACTTAATTGGATGCCTAATTAATTTTTTATGAATTAATTAAAATTTGGACCGAATTAGTAGACATGTCTAGCCAACCACACCACACGCGTCATCACCTTCAATAGCTGCGCCATCACGTAATGGCTGCGTTCAAAAACCATTGCGCGCCTACTGAACATGATGTTCAGTAGGCGCGCAATGGTTTTTAGTCATGTAACTCTGTTGTAAATAAAACATGTAAAGTACTGAAAAAAAATTCATAAAAAACGTTTTCATAACAAGCTTTTATGTAATGATGCACTAAAAAGTAGAAAATAAATTATAGACTACTATTTAAATAACTATAAAGAAAAGCGTGGGTGTCTTCCTTAACATTAGTAAAGGTATCCAATAGATACTAAAGTGACCCACTGATTATGCGCTTAATGATTTATGGTTAGACCTAGCCTTTGTCTTGGTCTGGGCTTGGAAACTAAATTGGGTTGGGTTTATTGTCACCTTTACAGGAGTGCATGGGAGTGTATGGAAGTGTATGGGAGTGTATGGAAGTTGGTGACGTTATGACGAATTCTAAGAAAGGATGAAAGTCTACATTTTGCATTCGGAGTCTTCAGAAATGAGGGTTTCTTGTACGCATGCGCGAAACTTGATTTTGGGTGGCCAGTCTTTAAAAAATAAACTTAAGTGATTCAGCAAAACAATTGACATGTATGTAAATAATAGAATGGAGTTTTTTAATCAAACCCCGAGGTTTAATCAAACCTACGTAAACCTGTGGAACCTATATAAACCCGTGCAGTGTTTCTTCCAGACTTTTTTCTACGGGGGGGGGGGGGGGGCACTTGAAATTTTCGGGAGGGGTTAGTCTTTAATATAAATTTCATTTCGTTCGGGGGGGGGGGGTAGACATTTTCGAAGAGATGCCTGGAAGAAACTCTGAATCCGTGGAACCTACATAAACCTGTGGAACCTACATTAACTTCCGTGGAACCTACATTAACTTCCGTGGAACCTACATAAACCTGTGGAACCTACATAAACCTGTGGAACCTACATTAACCTGTGGAACCTACATTAACCTGTGGAACCTACATAAACCTGTGGAACCTACATAAACCTGTGGAACCTACATAAACCTGTGGAACCTACATTAACTTCCGTGGAACCTACATAAACCTGTGGAACCTACATTAACTTCCGTGGAACCTACATAAACCTGTGGAACCTACATTAACTTCCGTGGAACCTACATAAACCTGTGGAACCTACATAAACCTGTGGAACCTACATTAACTTCCGTGGAACCTACATAAACCTGTGGAACCTACATAAACCTGTGGAACCTACATAAACCTGTGGAACCTACATAAACCTGTGGAACCTACATAAACCTGTGGAACCTACATAAACTTCTGTGGAACCTACATTAACTTCTGTGGAACCTATATAAACCTGTGGAACCTACATAAACCTGTGCAACCTACATAAACCTGTGGAACCTACATAAACCTGTGCAACCTACATAAACCTGTGCAACCTACATAAACCTGTGGAACCTACATAAACCTGTGCAACCTACATAAACCTGTGGAACCTACATTAACCTGTGCAACCTACATAAACCTGCGGAACCTACATAAACCTGTGCAACCTACATAAACCTGTGGAACCTACATAAACCTGTGCAACCTACATAAACCTGTGCAACCTACATAAACCTGTGGAACCTACATAAACCTGCGGAACCTACATAAACCTGTGCAACCTACATAAACCTGTGGAACCTACATTAACTTCTGTGGAACCTACATAAACCTGTGCAACCTACATAAACCTGTGCAACCTACATAAACCTGTGGAACCTACATAAACCTGCGGAACCTACATAAACCTGTGCAACCTACATAAACCTGTGGAACCTACATTAACTTCTGTGGAACCTATATAAACCTGTGGAACCTACATAAACCTGTGAAACCTACATAAACCTGTGGAACCTACTATAAACCTGTGGAACCTACATAAACCTGTGCAACCTACATAAACCTGTGGAACCTACATAAACCTGTGCAACCTACATAAACCTGTGCAACCTACATAAACCTGTGGAACCTACATAAACCTGTGGAACCTACAAAACCCCCTACTACAGCTAACTCATGCCACAGACGAATGAATTGAAGAACTAATTTTGTAATGTCAAGGTTCCCTGCCAAAAAAAAGTCATGTGACTACAAGACTTACATAATCTCAAACCTTCCTGGTTTCCTAAAAAAAAACTTATCTAATCTCCAATAGTCCAAAAAAATGAATACGCCTTTATAACGTACTAAGTCTACCTAAAGTGGATATTCGGAGGGGAGGTGGGGGGGGGGGGGTAAGTTTAAAATCAATAACGTAAACAAATCGTACTAAAATGTCAATAGGGCTTGACGCAATATCTGTCAACTGTGAATATCGATTTTTTTTTACTAGCATTGATTTAACCCCATCATTGTTAGAAAAATATTTACTATATATTTCTTTAATTAAACTTTAAGCCATACAAAGGCAGTTGAAACAGTTATCCAGTACCCAGTTATCCATTACCCAATTATCTTTCGTCAAGTTATCCATTGCTCAGTTATCCATTACCCAACTACCTATCGTCCAGTTATCCATTACCCAGTTATCCATTACCCAGTTATCCATTACCCAGTTATCTATTACCCAGTTATCCATTACCCAGTTATCCATTACCCAGTTATCCATTACCCAGTTATCAATTACCCAGTTATCCATTACCCAGTTATCCATTACCCAGTTATCCATTACCACGTTATCCATTACCCAGTTATCCATTACCCAGTTATCCATTACCCAGTTATCCATTACCCAGTTATCCATTACCCAGTTATCCATTACCCAGTTATCCATTACCCAGTTATCTATCGTCCAGTTATCCATTACCCAGTTATCCATTACCCAATTATCCAATACCCAGTTATCCATTACTCAGTTATCCATTACTCAGTTATCCAATAATCAGTTGTCCATTACCCAGTTATCCATTACCCAGTTATTTATCGTCCAGTTATCCATTACCCAGTTATCCAATACTCAGTTGTCCATTACCCAGTTATCCATTACTCAGTTATTTATCGTCCAGTTATCCATTACCCAGTTATCCAATACTCAGTTGTCCATTACCTAGTTATCCATTACCCAGTTATTTATCGTCCAGTTATCCATTACCCAGTTATCCAATACTCAGTTGTCCATTACCCAGTTATCCATTACTCAGTTATCTATCGTCCAGTTATCCATTGCTCAATTGTCCATGTTCTAGCTCTACACTAAACACAGGATATGAATTAAAATTAGAGCAATAAATGGATTAATATATTCATGGATTTAATTATAACTGACACAATATTATTGCCGACTGGCGATGCTAGTCTGTATTTGGTGTAAAAAAAAATTAGTAATCCTATTTCATCATGTTGATAATTAATTAAAAGTAGCCTTTAAAGGACTGCAACATTTTTTTTTAAAACTTGAAAGGAATGTTTATTAACTGGATACATGATCGAAGTTGTAAATTATAATATACAGATTAGCCGGGTATGTAAAACATTTAGTATTGTTTTAAATGACAATCAGAAAGTAAAACGTGACTGAAAAAAAAAACCTAACCGAATTTGTTTTACAATGAATAATGCGCGTACAGAAAACGCATACATAATAGTGCGCATATAGATGTTCTGCACCACCCTCCTAAGTTATGCCAGGTACTCATTATAGCTGAGCGAATGTACTCACAAGATCAGTCACTAGAGTAAATAAGTTAATGTTGGTGCACAAATTTTGCTTTGATCTTTGAACTATGTTGTTTTGTATGTTAGCATTTGAGTGTAATCCTTGTATGCAGTAAGCTCTCAAGAAAACCTAATCCCTAAAAGACACTATTTCTTTAGATTTGAAATCAGAATGTTGAACAGAAATTTAGAGCTTGTCGAACTTTTTTAGTCCTGAATCTATTTCTATCTTGTCCTCAGTTTAAGTTTGTGAAAATGTTACTGCGTGGGATTATTAAGCTCCTTGTTAAACCCGGGATATGTCAAACCATTTTGGCGTTTGTTCAAAAATTACTGTCAAATGTATGCAGGTCGTGTTTTTGGTCTCGAACCTTCGTATATTGACAATATAAGATATAATCCTATCATGTAGATTACGTCATAAAGTTTGAATTTCCTAGGAAGAGCGACAAGGCTATTTAAAGACCTCCAGCAGGAAATTTCTAGAACTTCGCGAACAGACGTCTGACTAGGCATCGAGCTGAAATTTGTAAGTTTTGAAAATCACATTTTTGACGCTTAACAAGGAACTTTAACAAATTAAAACCTACATTTTTCTTGTGTGAAATTTAAAAGCACAATTTTAGCACTTAAAACCACATTCATAACACTTTAAAACCACATTTTTAGCACTTAATTCCACATGCATAGCACTTTAAAACCACAATTTTAGCACAATTACACACTCATAGCACTTTAAAATCACAGTTTGTAGATCCTAAAGAGCATTAAAAAAATTATACCTGCGTTTTCATAACTTTAACACTAATATTAAACATTCTTAAATTAATTTCACTAATATTGAAACTGCAGTGGTGCAATACTTTTAAAATATAAACTTGAAACTAATTGCAAAAATATAAATCTACTTTTTTAGAAGTATCAGCGCTGTTAAAAATTTGATTTCTTTTTACTCGGATTTTTGTTTGCGTGTAAGTTTTGTCGGATAGACAATTTTAGTCAATACTCGGTTTTTTTCTGAATTCGAGTAAAGAAATGTGTTATAAAATAATTTTAAGAACATGACCCGGTAAATTAAATCTATGATATTTAATATTGCTAAAATTGTTTACAAATTCACAGTTAATGCGATTTTAAAATATATATTTTTTTTTAAAACGACACCTTGAATGTCAATAAATCTGGTGACAAAAACATTCAAGAATTATTTAAATCTATAGTTTGTTGCAATATTTAAAAAGTTAACACATTTTTCCTTTAATGCTGTTTGTTTAAGTTATTTGGGATGGGAACGTCACCATATTTCATCTTACGGTGATTTTTTATTTCGAAAATGTTTTTTCTTTTATTTCTTGTAAGACGACTTAAGAATAAATAATGTGTGAATTTTTTAATATATATAATGGAATATTTTTTTATTGCCTTCTTATTTAAAATTTCATTTAGAAAATGATTTTAGAGTCGATGTAGAGTAAATTGATTTAATAACAAAGTACTGACTCCATAATAAAGTACAACTACCACTGAATCCTCTACTACGTAAAATGACGCCTGAACCTGTATTAGGTATAAACACACAGCCCTACTGCCGCCCAGTTTTCAAGAATATATCTTTCATTATCATAAAAAGATGATATTTACATTTCAAACTAAAACAAATATTTGCAATACATAAGTACATAAGCCTACCTTCATAAACTCAAAAACATACGGTGCATTCTAACGAAGGCGGAAACCCGACAAGTAACATTTTTCAAAATGTTTTATTTCTGTTTATTTTCAATACATTTTAAATCTGATTCAAATCACAGATAATACACTTTAGGCATAACAGTTTCAAATAACATTGTCAATAACATTTAAATATGCAAATGAGTATGTCATAGTTCATCAGAGCGTGTCGGCTTTCTAACATGGACATGAAACCCACCCCTCTATTCTTACCCCACCTCTAGTTACATATAAACAGGTATTTGGGATTTGGCCAGATGAGTTGTTGCTGTATGTATCTATAAATATACATTCGAGTGGATTGAATTTAGGAATTTAATCTTAAGAGGGAATGGTGGGGGTGGAGGGATAAAAACATGACGTCATTTACCTTAAGACGAGATCTTACTTGTGGGGAAGGGTTTCAAGAAGTAGGATACCTTACATTTTAGGTGATTTGTAAATACACGTAATGAAAATAAATTGTATCAGATTTTTTTAAGTTTTCGTGGGGTTAAAGGCCACCTTTTTGAACCGTCTCAGGGACAAAATTTGATGACGTCATATATTGATGACCTTGAGCGTGTATGACCGTCACATACAGAACTTGTTACCGCCGCTGTCAAGTATTTGTGACAAGTTATAGCCGTACACATTTAACGTACAGAACTTTTTATTCCAGGAACTTGTAACAAGTCAGCTCCGTACTCGCAAACTTGTTAGTGCAATTATATAGTAACAAGTCAGCTCCGTACATATTTAAAATACAGAACTTGTTAGTGCAAGTATTTAGTAACAAGTCAGCTCCGTGCATATTTAACATACAGTACTTGTTATAGCAAGAACTTGTGACAAGCTTTCGCCTTACTAACTTAACAAAACCGTTTGGGTTAGAGCCAACTGATTTGATTGGTTGTTTTTTTTGTCATTAATTTCTAATTATTTATGGAGTGTGGGGTCAGAAAATTGGAGGGGCGGGCGTAATGTCATAATCAATGGGGAGGTCAGCCAATCAGTGTCTTGTTAAACTGGGTGGTGATCTCGGTGATTGATAGAAATGTACCTAACTGGTTTCTTTTGAGCTGGAACTACCGCTTAATTTTTTGGGGTGTGTGTGTGTGGGGGGGGGGGGGGTGTGGTGGGGTGGGGTGTGTAGATCTGTCAAGCGGGACGTATTTAAGTAGGTTACGTAATAATTGCGGTATGGTGCAGGAGTAGATTTCTGAGAATGGTTTTATTCTCTAGCAGAGAAGGGTTGGGGGGAGGCTTGGTTTATGTATATGGGCTAGTAGGTGTTGTAGGGGTTAGGGGGGAAGCTCTAACACTCCACTCTACCACTCCACTCTTTCACTCCACTCTTCCACTCCACTCTTTCACTCCACTCTTCCACTCCACTCTACCACTCCACTCTTCCACTCCACTCTACCACTCCACTCTTCCACTCCGCTCTTTCACTCCACTCTTCCACTCCACTCTACCACTCCACTCTTCCACTCCACTCCACCACTCTCTTCCACTCCACTCTTTCACGCCACACTTCCACGCCACTCTACCACTCCACTCTTCCACTCCGCTCTTTCACTCCACTCTTCCACTCCACTCTACCACTCCACTCTTCCACTCCACTCTAACACTCCACTCTTCCACTCCTCCACTCCACTCTTCCACACAACTCTTCCACACAACTCCACTCTTCAACTCCACCACGCTCTTCCACTTCACTCTTCCACTCCACTCTTCCACTTTTCCACTCCACTCTTCCACTTCACTCTTCCACTCCACTCTTCCACTCCACTCCACTCTTCCACTCCACTCTTCCACTCCACTCCACTCTTCCACTCCACTCCACTCTTCCACTCCACTCTTTCACTCCACTCCACTCTTCCACTCCACTCTTCCACTCCACTCTTTCACTCCACTCTTCCACTCCACTCTTCCACTCCACTCTTCCACTCCACTCTTTCACTCCACTCCACTCTTTCACTCCACTCTTCTACTCCACTCTTTCACTCCACTCTTCCACTCCACTCTTCCACTCCACTCTTCCACTCCACTCCACTCATCCACGCCACTCTTCCACTCCACTCTTCCACTCCACTCTTTCACTCCACATTTCCACTCCACTCTTTCACTCCATTATTTCACTCCACTCCACTCTTCCACTCCACTCTTCCTATCTTCCACTCCTCTCCACTTTTTCACTCCAACACTCCAGTCCTACACTCCGCTCTTTTACTATCCCTTCCACTGCAAATGTAATGGAAACATATTAACTCTACTTCATCTGCCCAAAAAAGCCGTCAGGTCCGATAAAGATAAACTTCATTTTTTTTACATGAGAATCAACACAGACATATTGATCTAGCCACTCAATCAGACATGGCTGTTTTACATTGGGAAAATGATTGTATAACTTGTTTACAGTCTGTAGATTGGTGAGGCCTCTAGACTCTATGTACACCACATCGTTGATTGAACAATCATACAATCACCATCACGATGTCCAGAGTAGAAGAGACGAGAGACAGACTGAAAACAATCGGCGTCCTAGGCTTCCCATTCTCGAAAGGACAGGTACGATATAATTGAACACTTAACACACACACACACACACACACATATATATATATACATATATATATATATACATAATAGTATATATATATATGTATATATATATATATATATATATATATATATATATATATATATATATATATATATATATATATATATATATATATATATATATATATGTGTGTGTGTGTGTGTGTTTTCTGATATAAGATTTAAGTTAACAAATAGACAAGGGTACTTGTAGAAATATGCGTAATGAAGGGGACCGTGACAAAACTGTATTGTCTTTTATAAGTATTGACTAATGGTTAGTTGGATTTAGTTAGCAGAGTGGAGATTTTGTTTCGTTCAAACGTCAAACTTTTGAATGTTTTCAGCCCCGAGCAGGAGCGGAGCAGGGCCCGAGTGCTCTGAGAGAAGCTGGGCTCATAAGTGACCTCGAAGCTCTAGGTAAATCCACCTGTTTGTTAGGCTTATTCCTTGTTACTGAATTTTTTTTATTCGTCTTCAAACGTCCGCCATCTTTTTCATTAAAAATTTAAAAGTTTTTTTTTCGTATTTAAATTTATAAATCATGTCACTAAAAATGTTTTACACTTGCCCATTAAATGTAGGCCTACAACTCTTGTTGTTCTTAGGTCGGAGAGTTATCGATCATGGCGATGTTGCCATTAAAGACATTGAACTAGATGAACCAGTTCTAAATGTGAAAAACTCCAAATCTGTTGGAGAGAATAACAGGAAGGTATGCTTTATTTATGAATGACGAATAATTTCTCTTCTAAACATTGTTTAAAAGACAAAATGATTTTTGATAATGTAACAAATCACGCATTCTAGAAAAAAAAGTTTTTAAGTGTTGCTAATCATATTTATTTAATGTTTGTATGTACTTATTCAATACTTATAATTGTTTATTAAATACTTATTATTGTTTATTAAATATTTGTAACTGTTTATTTAATACTTATAATGGTTTATTAAATTTCTGTGATTTTTAAAAATTAAATAATAATTATAATTCTTTATTAAATTTTTGTGATTTTTTTAAATTAAATAATTATAATTATTTTATCAATATCTGTTATTCTATATTAAAAAGTCATACTTATGCCATTTATTTTTTATTTTTTTATCAAGTATCTGTACTTTTAAAAAAATTTTTTTATTGTTTATTAAATAGTTATAAAAAATTGTAATTGTTTAATAATTAGGCCTAATTCTAATTATTAACTAATTATTAAAAATTGTGTATAGCTACAGCCAGTGGCGTAGCGAGGTCGGGTGTCACCCGGTGCGGCACTTAATGGTGTCACCCCCCCCCCCCCAAAGGCGTAGCGACCCTTCCCGGGGATAAATTTTCGATTTGCACTCCCCCTCAAGTTTTCGATTTGCACCCCCCCCCCCCCCCCCTCAAGCTTTCAATTTGCACCCCCCCTCAAATTTTTCTCTATATGTTTTGCTATTTTTTGCCTTGGTGTCACCCCCTAAATGGTGTCACCCGGTGCGGTCCGCACCCCCCCCCCCTCGCTACGCCTCTGCTTATAGATCTAATTTTTTGTATTGAATTTCTGTAATTGCTTGATAAATAATTTTAATTCTTTATTAAATATATGTTACTGTTTATTTAATAGTCATACTTATATTTTTTATGAAGTATCTGTAATTACTTTTGAAATAATAATTGTTTATTAATTAAATATGTATTATTGTTTATTAAATCTTTAAATTTGTGTATTTCTAATTCTTTGTACGACGACAGCTGTCCAAAAGGGTAGCCCAGATTCTGGGCTCCAACCAACAAGTTCTCCTGTTGGGCGGGGACCACAGCATGGCCATAGGGTCAATTCACGGCCACGCCCAGGTCGAGAAGAACCTGGTGGTCGTGTGGGTGGACGCCCACGCCGACATCAACACGCCTCTGACGTCATCCAGCGGGAACATCCACGGCATGCCGCTGTCGTTTCTGGTGAAGGAGCTGGAGAGACACGTCCCGAAGATTGAGGCGTTTGACTGGGTTAAGCCTTGGTTAGTTGCTTATGAGTTTCTTTTGTGTATGCGTGGTTATAGGAGCGTTATGTTTGTCTTTAGTGCCTATGTCATTGTCATTGTGGGGTTTTTTTTTGGGTTTTTTTTTTGTTTTTAGTAGGTTTTTTTTTTTAAATGTGTTGTATTTGTTTGTTTCATTGTAAATGTGTTTTTTGTGATTGTGTAAATTGTGTCCTTGTAGATGTCTTTGCAAATGCTTTACTGTTTCTTTGTAAATGTGTTTTAGTGTCCTAGAGTGTCCTAATGTAGATTCTGTGTGTCTGCGTGCTTGTCTTTTGTCGTAGTACGTGCGTGTGTCGTCCATGGTGTGTCTTGTGGGCAACTCTGTTGGGTGTCTCTGAAAATATTAATGTTTGCACGTGCGCCTTTTGAGCCGTGAGTACTCATCAATTAGCCTTACTCATAAGTTGGTTAATTTGTCGTCACCACTTGATGAATGTGGCCCTAATCTTAAAACAAATCAAAGCTCTTCTAGACCAAAGCATTTAACAACCATAATGGCTAGAGTGTCGTGATTAGCGCTTCTATTCATTTTGAGAAAGGGTTTGTGGCACACGTAAAACCCCATTTAGTGCCTCTCACAATCACCCTGTGTGTACCTCACACAATCACAGATTTACCTTCTGTGTACCTCACACAATCACAGACGTACCTTCTGTGTACCTCACACAATCACAGACGTACCTTCTGTGTACCTCACACAATCACAGACTTACCTTCTGTGTACCTCACACAATCACAGACTTACCTTCTGTGTACCTCACACAATCACAGACTTACCTTCTGTGTACCTCACACAATCACAGACTTACCTTCTGTGTACCTCACACAATCACAGACGTACCTTCTGTGTACCTCACACAATCACAGACGTACCTTCTGTGTACCTCACACAATCACAGACGTACCTTCTATGTACCTCACACAATCACAGACTTACCTTCTGTGTACCTCACACAATCACAGACTTACCTTCTGTGTACCTCACACAATCACAGACGTACCTTCTGTGTACCTCACACAATCACAGACTTACCTTCTGTGTACCTCACACAATCACAGACGTACCTTCTGTGTACCTCACACAATCACAGACGTACCTTCTGTGTACCTCACACAATCACAGACGTACCTTCTGTGTACCTCACACAATCACAGACGTACCTTCTGTGTACCTCACACAATCACAGACTTACCTTCTGTGTACCTCACACAATCACAGACTTACCTTCTGTGTACCTCACACAATCACAGATTTACCTTCTGTGTACCTCACACAATCACAGACTTACCTTCTGTGTACCTCACACAATCACAGACGTACCTTCTGTGTACCTCACACAATCACAGACTTACCTTCTGTGTACCTCACACAATCACAGACTTACCTTCTGTGTACCTCACACAATCACAGACTTACCTTCTGTGTACCTCACACAATCACAGACTTACCTTCTGTGTACCTCACACAATCACAGACTTACCTTCTGTGTACCTCACACAATCACAGACGTACCTTCTGTGTACCTCACTCAATCACAGACTTACCTTCTGTGTACCTCACACAATCACAGATTTACCTTCTGTGTACCTCACTCAATCACAGACTTACCTTCTGTGTACCTCACACAATCACAGATTTACCTTCTGTGTACCTCACACAATCACAGACGTACCTTCTGTGTACCTCACACAATCACAGATTTACCTTCTGTGTACCTCACTCAATCACAGACTTACCTTCTGTGTACCTCACACAATCACAGATTTACCTTCTGTGTACCTCACACAATCACAGACTTACCTTCTGTGTACCTCACACAATCACAGATTTACCTTCTGTGTACCTCACACAATCACAGATTTACCTTCTGTGTACCTCACTCAATCACAGATTTACCTTCTGTGTACCTCACTCAATCACAGATTTACCTTCTGTGTACCTCACACAATCACAGACTTACCTTCTGTGTACCTCACACAATCACAGATTTACCTTCTGTGTACCTCACACAATCACAGATTTACCTTCTGTGTACCTCACACAATCACAGATTTACCTTCTGTGTACCTCACTCAATCACAGACTTACCTTCTGTGTACCTCACACAATCACAGATTTACCTTCTGTGTACCTCACACAATCACAGACGTACCTTCTGTGTACCTCACACAATCACAGATTTACCTTCTGTGTACCTCACACAATCACAGACGTACCTTCTGTGTACCTCACACAATCACAGACTTACCTTCTGTGTACCTCACACAATCACAGACTTACCTTCTGTGTACCTCACACAATCACAGACTTACCTTCTGTGTACCTCACACAATCACAGACTTACCTTCTGTGTACCTCACACAATCACAGACTTACCTTCTGTGTACCTCACACAATCACAGACGTACCTTCTGTGTACCTCACACAATCACAGACGTACCTTCTGTGTACCTCACACAATCACAGATTTACCTTCTGTGTACCTCACACAATCACAGACTTACCTTCTGTGTACCTCACACAATCACAGATTTACCTTCTGTGTACCTCACACAATCACAGACGTACCTTCTGTGTACCTCACACAATCACAGATTTACCTTCTGTGTACCTCACACAATCACAGACTTACCTTCTGTGTACCTCACACAATCACAGACGTACCTTCTGTGTACCTCACACAATCACAGACGTACCTTCTGTGTACCTCACACAATCACAGACGTACCTTCTGTGTACCTCACACAATCACAGACGTACCTTCTGTGTACCTCACACAATCACAGACTTACCTTCTGTGTACCTCACACAATCACAGACTTACCTTCTGTGTACCTCACACAATCACAGACTTACCTTCTGTGTACCTCACACAATCACAGATTTACCTTCTGTGTACCTCACACAATCACAGACTTACCTTCTGTGTACCTCACACAATCACAGACTTACCTTCTGTGTACCTCACACAATCACAGACTTACCTTCTGTGTACCTCACACAATCACAGACGTACCTTCTGTGTACCTCACACAATCACAGACGTACCTTCTGTGTACCTCACACAATCACAGACTTACCTTCTGTGTACCTCACACAATCACAGACTTACCTTCTGTGTACCTCACACAATCACAGATTTACCTTCTGTGTACCTCACACAATCACAGACGTACCTTCTGTGTACCTCACACAATCACAGACTTACCTTCTGTGTACCTCACACAATCACAGACTTACCTTCTGTGTACCTCACACAATCACAGATTTACCTTCTGTGTACCTCACACAATCACAGACTTACCTTCTGTGTACCTCACACAATCACAGACTTACCTTCTGTGTACCTCACACAATCACAGACGTACCTTCTGTGTACCTCACACAATCACAGATTTACCTTCTGTGTACCTCACACAATCACAGACTTACCTTCTGTGTACCTCACACAATCACAGACTTACCTTTTGTTTTCTACAGCATCTCATCACGTGACCTGGTCTACATTGCCCTCAGGGACGTTGACCCCGGGGAGAGGTAACGTATTTTACACGTACTTTTGTTTCAGGGGCGGGTTCAACAAGTGCGGGTTCAACAGGGGCGGGTTTACCAGAGGTGGGTTATGCAGGGGCGGGTTATACAGGGGCGGGTTCAAGAGGGGCGGGTTCAAGAGGGGCGGGTTCAACAGGGGCGGATTCAACAGGGGCGGGTTCAACAGAGGCGGGTTCAACAGAGGCGAGTTCAACAGGGGCGGGTTCAACAGAGGCGGGTTTACCAGAGGTGGGTTATGCAGGGGCGGGTTATACAGGGGCGGGTTCAAGAGGGGCGGGTTCAAGAGGGGCGGGTTCAACAGGGGCGGATTCAACAGGGGCGGGTTCAACAGAGGCGGGTTCAACAGAGGCGAGTTCAACAGGGGCGGGTTCAACAGAGGCGGGTTTACCAGAGGTGGGTTATGCAGGGGCGGGTTATACAGGGGCGGGTTCAAGAGGGGCGGGTTCAAGAGGGGCGGGTTCAACAGGGGCGGGTTAAACAGGGGCGGGTTCAAGAGGGGCGGGTTCAACAGGGGCGGGTTCAAGAGGGGCGGGTTCAACAGGGGCGGGTTAAACAGGGGCGGGTTCAAGAGGGGCGGGTTCAACAGGGGCGGGTTCAACAGGGGCGGGTTCAACAGAGGCGGGTTCAACAGGGGTGGGTTCAACAGGCGGGTTCAACAGGGCTGGGTTCAACAGGCGGGTTCAACAGGGGCGGTTTCAACAGAGGTGGGTTATACAGGGGCGGGTTAAATAGGGGTGGGTTCACCAGGGGCGGGTTTACCATGGGTGGGGCTAAAGCACAAAGAGGTGGGGTCGCTCCAGACTCTATGTGTTTGTTATGTTATCATCATCTCTTCTTGATCGTGCCCAAAACACATCGGGCAGATGAAGTAGAGTCAGTTTAACTACCACAGCTTACAGGTTGAAAGTGTGGTCAGACTCAGCTCTATACCCAACCGCCTTGGACTGCTCAGGGACGACCTACAGACTCGCCCCCCCCCCCCCCCCTAATAAATAAAAATTGTTTTTAAAAATATATAGAAAATAAATAGGCCTACTTTAAATAGTGTCAACTCCACTCCTCCCCCAATCACTATCCAGTCCCCATCAACTTAAGTTTCAAGCGCCCCCCCCCACCCCCAATTTAAAAATGTCTAAAAGAAACCCTGCTTAGTCAAGTACTAAACTTAAACCCAAATTTCAAAAGAATGTTGTACATCGTTACATACTAATACACGTTGTGGTATGACCTCAGCATGCACATCCTACTATCTCGCTAATTAACCCAATTCCTAATACATTGTTGTATAACTCACCCAGGAAGATTATCAAAGGTCTTGACCGCTGATTAACCTAATTCCTAATACATTGTTATATAACTCACCCAGGAAGATTATCGATGATCTTGATCACTGATTAACCCAATTCCTAATACATTGTTGCCTAACTCACCCAGGAAGATTATCGATGATCTTGGCATCTGCTGCTTCTCCATGCATGAGGTGGACAAATATGGCATCCGTGACGTCCTTGACCGCGCACTGTTTCACGTGGACCCAAGGTCAGAGTTCAAGTGGTGACCTAATTAATGTTATAACGCCATTAAGGGATGCGAATTTAAAAATAAGTGTGTGGGTTCAGACAGGAAGCAAACGGGACCGATTCCCCCCATATTTCTGTATCATTTTAAACAACATATCTACGTAGCTAATAGTTTCGTGGTTGAAATAGTGTGGACGATACCTAGAATTATCAGAGGGATGTTAAAAAAAACCTCAGGTACCTATTTTAGTCCTAATGATCCATAGTGCAGGGGAAGTAGAGTTTATATGTTGTTTGGCTTCGATAAATGAAGGAATGGTGTGGACAGCACTATACCCAGCCGCTTTTAATTTCCCTAACGTGAGTCAGGTACCCATAAGAGCTGGGTGGACTCAACCTCAGGGACGTCCTTCAGACTCGTCCAGACTGATATCCGAACTTGAGACCGATACTCTATGGACATCTCATACTGTTGTGTTATGTAATGTGTGCCGTATCCGTGTAACTCTAGTATCGTTTCTGTCCACAGTGGCAAACGCCCAATCCACCTGAGCTTTGATGTGGACGGTATCGATCCTGAATTTACTCCATCCACAGGAACACCAGGTATCTGAACCAAACTAAATGTTAATGATAACCTGACTATAAACCTAAACTATAACCTGACTATAGCCTGACTATAACTAGACTATAACTAGACTATAACTAGACTATGACTAGACTATAACCTGACTATAACCTGAGCTATTACCTAACTATAACCTGACTGTAACCTTGACATAGTATATTAAAAAATTATAGTCAATTAGATTTTTGCTAATTAACCAACATATTTCATTAGTCATGAACATTCGTAAAAATAAAATAATCTAAATTCCTAATTCGATTGTAATGTTAAGTTAAAGTATCTAGAAAAGATAAGCCTGCGATCATATTGATAATTTTTATCCTTTATTTTCATCCATGATACCGGACAGAACCATCTTGTTTTAGAACCATGGAGATTATGTCAGTCGTGAGCGTGACAGAGGGATAATCTCTATCTTTTAGAACCGTGGCCATACCTGTGACTTAGGGCTGAATCCTAGAGTTTTAGACTCTCCCCCCCCCCCTCCCCCCTCCCTCTCCCCCACACACACACGGTCATATGACTCGTGAGCATGACAAAGGGTTGATCCTAGTTTTGTTTTAGACCCCCCTCCTCCCCCTCTCCCACAGACATCTGTTACTAATGACGACTGCGCTAATTATAGCCCTAAGCACATGTTGCAAAATGTATTGAAAGTAGTTTAAACCATGTGGCCCAGTGTTAACGTAGTCAGTAGATAATTTATTCTTGGATGTTAATATAAGCTGGGCTTAAGACAAACTGTTGTCATGTTGTAGAGTCGTGTCCAATAAAGAGTTGGTTGTATGACGCTAGTCTTTTACTTCAGTCATCCAACATACATACGCTGGATGGCATTATCCAACGTTAATGTGTGCTCGTCCAACACAACATTGCACTAATCATCCAACAAGGTATTGTCGTACGACACAACATATACTCAACACCACCAACTGTATGACATTATACACCCAACACCACCAACTGTATAACACCACATACACAACACCGCGCGACACTGTACGAAACCATTCTTCCAATATTAACTTGCCGTACGACACAACTCATCCACCACCAACTTGCCGTACGACACAACATACTTAACACCAACTTGCCGTACGACACCACTCATACAAAACCAACTTGTCTTACGACACCATTCATCCAACACCAACTTGCCGTACGACACCACTCATCCAACAACCCTTTGCCGTACGACACCACTCATCCAACACCAACTTGCCGTACAACACAACTCATCCGACACCAACTTGCCGTACAGCACCACTCATCCAACGCTAACTTGCCGTACAACACAACTCATCCAACAACCCTTTGCCGTACGACACTCACCTTTGTTTCCCCAGTACCTGGAGGTTTAACCATGCGTGAAGCCAACTACATCGCCGAAGAGATCTGCCTCACAGGTATTCTACGTCATTCTAATTACACACCAATTAAATTTTTAATTAACTTTATTTTTAGTTATACCATAAACCATATCTTGGGATAATAAAATAAGAATATATCAATCTTTAATACTTGTTGTAAACACGCAGTTAAACTCTATATTTAAAATGCCATGTTAATGTAGGTCGTCTGTCTGTCGTTGACATTGCGGAAGTGAACCCCCTGCTGAGTCAACATGTCAAGGATGGAGCCGAGAAGACGGCGTCCAACACCGTGCAGCTCATCACCAAGTTCTTTGGGCGGAAGCGACAGGGCAACTACCCAGAGGGCTACAGGATCCCCCTGCCCTGAGGTCACTTCCCAGTGGCGTCATACCCCTGTGATGATTTTAGTTCTGACGTCATTAACCTGGTGAGAAATGAAACTGACGTCATGAACATTTTGAGAATTTTTGTAATATTTTTGTAAATTCCAAATTTGGAAGAAGAAGAAAAACGAACACATTTCACAGCGTGATTTTTCTGTTTTTAATTTTAAAAAAGGCAGTGATTTTTTGTTAGAAGTGCTTTAATTTTTTATATACGCAGCTTTTTTATACTGAATTTAAAATGTAAATTTTTTTCATAAGGTATTTTTTGTAGCCTACATACATATTTTCCCATTATTTAAATAATTTCAAATTTAAGAAAGTGGGTTTTTTTTCTTTTAATTTTTGGAAAGTTGTTAATTTTGCAAATATTTTTTTTTAATATTTACCGCAATTGAATTATAAATTACATTTAAAAAAATAATTAATTACTGATTCCCCTGTACGTGCAAGTAATGGCCCTTTTTGGAATAAGATACTGATATAGCTGCAAGGGAAACAACCGTTGATGCTTTTACAACACTTATCATCAATGATTCCTTTAAAAAAATAAGTGTTTCCCTACATTTTGTTATTAGTAAATTAGGTGTTTATTCACAAGTTTCATTAATACATTATTTTTTTTATTAAGTTACAATACCTGATGTAGTCCTTAAGTTGAAACAGTTGTTTTAATTTGTTTTACCAGTTTTCACCAAATCATACCCATGTGATACATTCACCCAACTATACCTATGTGATATATGTATAGCATAAAGTGTGATTTATTTTTTAGATACATTTTATACGCTTCATTTTTAGAGCTGTTATTTTTGTTTTTATGCAGAGATTTTAAATCTTGCAAAAAGAAATATCACTTGGAAATCTTTAGATTTTACCCTGTAAAAATGGATGCTATCCTAAAATGTATACAAGAGTAACATACATCCGGTTGATTTAAACTGTTTAAACTTAATTCTTTCCAGAAAATAATATTTTTTTGTTCATCATTCCTGAACTAACAAATTCGTTTATATCTTTATGATAAGAAGTTTGTTAATGATTTTAGTCATCAAGAAAATAGTTTACATTTACCAAACACTTTTTTGTGTTTGACATCGGGAAAAATAAAAAGTTAATTTCTAATTATTTACCTATTAATTTTTTAGATAATTATTTTTAATATACATTTTTAAATTCACTCAATAACTAACTTCATGTTAAATCAGTTTAGTGAATACTTAATTAGCAACAAAATTAAATGTGGACACCATTTTAAAAACAAATTATAAAACACCAATAGAAAATATGTGATCTGTCTTTTAAGGAAACATTTTTTTTTTAAATTTGATCATTGAACACTCAAGAGCTAAGAAATATAATCATGGCAGCTTTAAAATTAAAAAGTTTATTAGAACATTTCCATTTTGTTTATATTGTTATGAAATGAAAAGTTCAATAAATACCGGTGATACAAAAGTCTGTGTTGGATTTGAAGGTTATGTAATACGGTTTTGTCGATAGGGTTGTCCATGACATTAAGTACCTGAGGTAGTTGTATGGGTGTGTGTGTGTGGGGGGGGGGGGTACTTTTAAAAGACATACTGTTACTGTTACTGCCAGGCTACTCTCCAACCGCACCCCAGAAATTTTAAGTGTCCCGGAAAAAAGCGCAAACAGAAAAAAGCGCAAACAGAAAAAAGCGCACACAGAAAAAAGTGCAAACAGAAAAATGAGTACAACGAAAAATGCGCTATATGGACTGCTGTAAGAGTGTCGTGTTTGATCACGTGATCTACTACCATTTAAAGCGTATCAATACCATGTGCATTTCCATCACCGCGATAATCACTTTACACAATGCCTATTATTATTTTTTGTTCAATAATTATTCAACTACTATTCTCGTATAAAGAAACATAAAACTATCCTTGATATCGAAATTACACAAAGTATCTCTCACATTCTCCCTAGTCCAAACTACCTAGCTTGCATACCATTAAACTACCAGTTCTTATGGTAAAACTTCACTCTCTTTCATCCGCGTCATCAAACATGCATTCGACACATATTTTGCAACAACATTCATTCCCATCAAAATACCCTGATAAAACACACATCATAACATTAACAATGATGTATTTAATATTATTTCATCATGACGCACCTACCTACCTACCCACCCACCTAGTGTGTAAGATTTTTTGCCACCTTAATTAATTAAATATCAATGGGGGCACAAAATGGATAGTTCGTCCAGGAAAGGGTCGCAACGCATCTGAAACCCATAGTAAAGAAATCAGGGTAAGTTAATAATAACATAAAATATAATGGGCGTTACAACACACACAGTAAGTAGTACCCTTAGAGCAGGGGTCTCCAAACTACGGCCCGCACGCCGGATGCGGCCCACGATGTCCTCTCATCCGGCCCGTGGAGATCTTTTTGTCCACGGAAAAAAACGTTTGTTGGTGATGGCTGAGGAACTTTGCCCAGAAAAATCAAAGACATGCCTAGAAGAAACTGGCCCCCGAACTGAAATTTGATCAGTGTTTCTTCCAGACTTTTTTCTCCGGGGGGGCACTTGAAATCTTCGGGGGGGCGGTAAACTTTCTTCGGGGGGGCGGACACTGTTAAAAGTATATATTTTCTATATAAATTATATAAATTTCATTTCGTTCGGGGGGGCGGTAAAAATTGTTCGGGGGGGGGGGCTTTGCCCCCCCGAAGAGATGCCTGAAAGAAACTCTGAATTTGATAGGTAATGCGGCCCTCGGACTGAAAAGTTTGGAGACCCCTGCCTTAGAGAATAAAATAATAATATGGCCTGTACAGAACTAGCTCTGTAGTTCAGAACTTGGGCTTGACTTGCGAACAAAAGGAGGCGTGGTTTGGGATATCGACCAATAGGAATGTAAGTAGCTTGAAAACGTCTCGCGCAGCGAAGCTAGGCCGATTGTTCTCGACACTAGCCCCCTCTACATCCAGTAGCAAGCCACGGTACGCCTATCCTGGGTTGTAAGAAAGACAACCCAAACAACGCGAGCCCATTCACTTTCTGTTTCTTTCAGGCATCTTTTCGAGGGGTGGGGAAGGGGGGGGGGGGCCTATCCCCCCACACACATCACCTTAAATATAATAAACTGTCAATTTCTTTCAGCAAAGTTCATTTACGAGTATTTTAGGTATCAGAGTTAAAAACAATCGAAAGCTGTGTGTAAAACACTGCAGAAGTATTTTTTTGCGTCAGGGGAGATTATTCAATAAATTAAATACTTACTAAAAATACAGTGTTCTTTCCCTTGAAATTAGAAAGCATTATTGGATCAATTTGGTAGAAATGTAAAAAGGTTTAAAATTAAAATAATTTCTAAAAAATCTTTAAGGCTTGTTTTTTTTTTTTTTTAAATGCTGGGACAAATATAAAAATAGGCATAAACATTTTAATAAATTTAAAATGCAAGTTTAAAAAAATAACAATAAAATAACAATCACAATGTAGGAGAAAGCAATTAATACTCATAATCTTAGGATATGAAGTGAAACAGCATTGGAAAAATGAAAATTGTAGTAGAAGCTTTGGTGTATTTTTTTTTGACTATCATAGACTTGGTGGACTGTGTGTGAACTATTTTAAACTCTGTGTCTTTCAACACTGTTCTTGCATGATGTAGGTGTTCACTGATTGTTGCACCTACAGTCTTGTTTTAATATGCTTTTGGAATAGATTTGTGGATATCTGCAGAGGTTGTGGAATAGATTTGTGGATATCTGTAGAGGTTGTGGAGATTTGTGGATATCTGTAGTGGTTGTGAAATAGATTTGTGGATATCTGTAGAAGTTGAGTAGATTTGTGGATATCCATAGAGGTTGCGGAGTAGATTTGTGGATACCCATAGAGGTTGTGGAGTAGATTTGTGGATATCCATAGAGGTTGTGGAGTAGATTTGTGGATATCCATAGAGGTTGTGGAGTAGATTTGTGGATATCCATAGAGGTTGTGGAGTAGATTTGTGGATATCCATAGAGGTTGTGGAGTAGATTTGTGGATATCCATAGAGGTTGTGGAGTAGATTTGTGGATATCCATAGAGGTTGTGGAGTAGATTTGTGGATATCCATAGAGGTTGTGGATTAGATTTGTGGATATCCATAGAGGTTGTGGAGTAGATTTGTGGATATCCATAGAGGTTGTGGAGTAGATTTGTGGATATCCATAGAGGTTGTGGAGTAGATTTGTGGATATCCATAGAGGTTGTGGAGTAGATTTGTGGATATCCATAGAGGTTGTGGAGTAGATTTGTGGATATCCATAGAGGTTGTAAAGTAGATTTGTGAATATCCATAGAGGTTGTGGAGTAGATTTGTGGATATTTGTAGAGGTTGTAAAGTAGATTTGTGGATATCTATAGCTGATACAATAGCAAGAAATAATTTCTTAATCTTATCATATTTTCTGCACTAGAGGTACTATCTTATTACCTTTCTCACTCTTGTCTGTTTCTCTGTCTATCTATCTATCTAATTGTGTGTGTATGTAAAAATGTATATACACATGTAATTAAGCAAATAATATAGACATGTATACTATAGTAATAGTTCAAACTAGGCAGAAAAAAGTATTACAGTCAGTAACCCAAGTATGTTTAAATTCCCATTTTCAAAAAAGCTAAAAGAGTAGAAAAAAATTAAAATAAAGTAATAAGAACAGTAGCACAATGTTCTTTAGGCAAAAATCAAAATACTTTATATGTGATCACATACTGCAATAACAGATATAAAAAAGTAAAGTTTCCCTTTCAAACCTGACGGTCTATGGGGCAAGTGAAGTAGAGTTCACTTGTTTCTGTGACCTCGGCATATGAAGAGATAGTGTGGTCAGCACTATGCCCAGCCGCCTTTACTTTCCCTAACGTGAGTTAGGTACCCATTAGAGTTGGGTGGACTCAGGGACGGTCTACTGACTGTAACCCGGATTTGAACTCGAGACTTACATGCCAGCAGTCCAGCTCTCTACCGCTAGACCACTCCGTCTCATAATATCAGATATACATTTGTAATATTAATAATGAGAGCAAACTTACACAATATGTACGTACACTTGTAACGTACATGAGTGATAATTTTTCTATAAAAATAACATACAAAGAACAGGACTAGTTATCAGTTCAAAAAACTTTCTATATAAAAAAATGTTACATACAAGGCAGGTGTAAAGTTAAAAACAAGAAAGATTTTTTTAATCAACAACATAAGGAGGCCTATTTACATTTCTTCTGGTTAAGGTTTATAAGTTGTTATTTTTTAAACAAAATAAAAAACCTTTTCTTACTGGACCTGATGCAAAAACAAAATATTTACACTGAGATGGTGTCACACTAGTTACAGTAAATGGTTTATGACCCAAACTTAATGAAACGTTTATAATGTGTCATCAGCCTAGCCCAAAACCCTAAACACACGCCTAACCCTAGGTATAAACTTAACCTAAGTAAAACTTAATACTTAACAAACCTAACCCAGGGCAAAAACCTAGACAGGAATAAATCTAACTCTACAATAAACCTAACCCTAGTAATCAACCCAAGTCAGAAACCTAACCCTCTACATTTCACTGGTGAACATGGCAAGTATCTATACCACAATATGTGATTTATCAATTATTACATGTAATACTGTAAACATGATAATTAACAATCTGGCAATAATTCTCCAAGAAATTTTTATCCTCAGCGCTGGAGTCTAATCCATTTAAAATGTGTAAAAAAAATTTTCATTTAAAAGTCAGACTATCACAGCCCCATTTATTTTTTTACTATTTTTTAGACAACACATTTCTTTTCCCGTGTTGAGCTTTCATGTGTCGGTTCAGTGATTTCCTATGTGAGAAAAGAATGTTACACACATCACAACTAAACTTGACACCAGAGTGGATGTGCTTGTGGTCCCACAACCTCTTCCTGCGGGAAAATCCTATCCCACATACAGGACACTGGAATACCTTTTCATCTTTGTGCGTTGCCTGATGCACTTTTAAATCCTCTCTGTCAGTGAATGATGCGGGACAAAGCCCACACGTGCGAGTTTTTTGTTCATGCACACGCAGATGTCTTTTGAGATGAAACTTCCTTTTAAAAAATGCAAAACAGATGGGGCATTTATGATTCCTACTCTCCTTACTTTTGTCACTGTGTTTCCTTCTTTTATGAATAGCTAAGGCAGAAGGAAAGAAAAATCCTTTATCACAGGCATCGCACTGGTAGGGTTTTTCCCCAGAATGTTTGCTTAAATGTAAGTCAAGAAATATATCACAACTAAAATGTTGATCGCAGTGCAGACATTTTAACGGTTTAAGGTGCGTGTTGAGGTGCTTGGATAAGTTGTTCAAACGAGGCGACGCCCACCCACACATTTCACATTTATAAGGTCTGATACCACTGTGTTCCCGGACATGTCTCTTGATTGACGTGGTGTCTTTAAAAGATTTCCCGCAAATGTGACACAAAACAACTTGTTTTGAGTGTAGTTTAACATGATGTCTTAACTTGTGGGCATTCTGACACTCTTTACCGCACTGCGCACAGTTAAAAACCTGAAGCTTGTCAGTTTTGTGCAGTTTGGAAACATGTTTTCTTAAGCTCCGAATATGGATATAATTCTTTGGACAAATGGCACACTCGTAAGGACGTTCACTGTGAAATCGCAAGTGCCGCAAGAAATCGGTTCTCTGCTTAAATCTATGGTAACACATATTACATGCTAAAAAAATTTCACTTAAATGAGTTTGTGAATGAGCTATAAACTTACATTTTTCGTTGAAGCTGCTATGGCAAATGTTGCAAGTAAGCTGAGTATTGTGAATGCTTGTATGCGATATGTAATCTTCATTACATAAAAACTGCCCTTGGCATTCAATACAAGTATAAACTTTATCTGCAGTGTGTAGCCTTAGATGATGTGACATGTTATGTAATCCCACACACTTTGCATTACATAAACAACAAGTAGACCCTGAGGTATATTTTGTGAGAGAGAACTTCAAAGAAAGATGTAAATTATTACCACTTTGGAAATAACTGATAAACCCACCTTCAAAAAAATGAGGTAGAGGTGGAAATAATAAATCTTCTAAATTATCTTTTGAATCTTCAGCTTTGATAGATACATTATTAATCTGTAAGAGAGATGAAGAGAAAACGGAATTCATTGCCCTGTCAATAAAACTTCTCTGGTGAAAATCTGAATTAACTGCATCATGATTTTCAGATAATGCCTTGCTCAAAGCATCTTGTTGCTTGCTTAAGTCTTTGACAGAAATTCCATCAAAGGGTTCACTTTTAATATTAGAAGAGTTGTCTAAATGTTGAATGTTATCAGTTGTATCACACTGACTATCACTACTCACACTTAATTCGCTTTCTGTAGAACTATTAAAATGATCTGTTATTGGCTTCTGTTTTGAAGGATTCAAACGTGATCTTAATGTGTAAGGCATTCTTTAGAAGACTGGACTGTAAAAGTAATTTATCTTCTCTTTGCTTCATCTATTCTTGTTTCTGGTATCCAAAAAACCTGAAATATAGCAAATCTCACGGTTAATGTGGGTAGCCAAGACAATAGCAAAAATTGCTTGCACTTCTAGTTCTAGCATAGAAATTAAGTCTACTTCTGAATGAAAATGAACATGCAATATCTGCATATGACCAAAAACAAAATACAGCTACAATATACATGCTTTTGAAATTTTAAGAAATTACTATGCCCTACAGACATGCTGAAATATCATATGCTAAAGCACTACAGCACATCAGTCTAGAATGGGGTTAATAATTGTATGTTAGTTAATGAGATTTATCAGGTTTTAAATTTTGTTTCTTTTAACAGACCAAAACTCAGTACACTGACGCTAACTTAAAACTAGCAACTAGGTATTGGAGTAATAAATTAGTCTATATATGTAGCTTCATTAGAATAAGAAATCAGTTAACATTTGTTTGCCTCAGCCTATTTGTGAGTATTTAATACCTATTAAATTAATATTATTTATTTATATTTAATAATTAATTAAAATAAAAACTTAGTAAAATCATTCGTTTGAGCTTCATGTAGTGCGCAGTCAGAGCTACTTCATTTAGACTAAACTTTAAACTTCTACTCTTAGTTTTCTTAGTAATACTAGTAGACTAGTCTAGTCTTCTTACACTAAACTAAGGCCTAAGATTGCCTAAGAAGGGGAAAAATGACTAGCTACTAGATTTCTAGATCTTAATCTAGTAGTAGCTAGCATCATTCTATAATCTATAATCTATGGGTAATGGGTAGCTACTAGAACTATCTAGGACTAGGTACGGTGTACTCAGTACAGTCGTTTTACTAAGTAAAGTAAGTAGTAAGTAGAAGTACTCAAAACTCAGCAGACTGTTACTAGTGTGTGTTACTCGACTAGTGTTACCACTGTTACCAGATGCGGCAACGGACTTGATATTTTTAAATATTTTAAAAGAGTTGCTTAGCCTTGGAGTTCTATAATTAAAAAACGTAAAGCTCATCATATCAAAAAAAAAAATAAGATTTTATGTATTACTCGTCATTAGGAATCTAGTAGTAAGGCCCTAGTAATTTTTAATATACTTATAATTTTATAATAACTTAGGCCTATGTCTTATAATAATAAGTATTTTATAGTGCCTAAGTAAATCAGGAAACAAAACGTAAAGAACATTGAGAGTACCGGTTCTTGGATTTACCAAAACCCGAAAACAAAATATCGTCTACGTTTAATTAAGCAACATTACGTGTTTGACCTCTAATTTTATTCACTGTTGCTTTTAGTAGGCTACAATTTTTTTTAAATCTCAGCTAATTAAACATACATAAAGTCGTATTTTTCAATTAATATATAAACCGGACGACATAATTTAAATTTTTAACGTAAAGGGCCTACCACACAGGAAAATAAAACAAAACAAAAAATTGTGTTATGAATAGAGAAGAAACAAATTTACACTTGGCCTATGGCCTAGATCAGGGGTCTCCAAACTTTTCAGTCCGAGGGCCGCATTAACTATCAAATTTCAGTTCGGGGGCCAGTTTCTTCCAGGCATGTCGTGATTTTTCTGAGCAAAGTTCCTCAGCCATCTCCAACAAACGTTTATTTCCGTGGACAAAAAGTTCTCCACGGGCCGGATGATAGGACCTCGCGGGCCGCATTCGGCCCGCGGGCCGTAGTTTGGAGACCCCTGGCCTAGATCTATATATTTATTTATTATACGTTTTAAAAGTAAATTGTCCGCGTATTTTGAAGATTTTCCACTTCTTGATACTACAAATTAAATAAATATATAGATCTAGGCCATAGGCCAAGTGTAAATCGAATGTACATGGAAAATATATACTTTTACCAGTGCCCCCCCTCCACTCACACACACACATCCCGAGAGAAAAAATAATATAGGCCTACCTACATTTGGAATCTGAAAAGTGGTGAAAACTGAATAGCAGCGATTTCTTATGTGTAGCAAGGTCTAAATGATGTTAAAGCGGCAAAGACAAGCACTAGTTACATACTAAAGCATAGTTAGGCACATATAATCAATTTTTCTTCCACAATTTTTTCAGAATTTTAGGAGGAGGGGGCGGGGGGCAGAGTGCAGACTAAAAATTTCGTTGGGGGGGGGGGGCGGACACGATTAAAAGTAAATATTTTTCTATATAAATTCCATTTCCCTTCGGGTTGGGGGTGGGGGCTCAGCTCCCACCACCCCCCAACCTCACTCCCCGAAGAGATGCCTGGAAGAAACACTGTATATAATATAATGTAGGCTTTATATGACCATATTGTTACGAAGTGAGATGAGGCCACGGTCGACACTAGAAGGACAATGTGCACGTAGGACGATCCAATACAAATAAAGACAGGGTGGCGTTGATTCATTTAACTGTAGTGTTTATATACACAACGAACACGACTATATCGAAGACGACAGTCGACGATATCCACAGGCTAACAACTGGCTTAAACTATTTCCCCTAACAACAAAAACCTGCTCCGAAACTTTTATTAATATAAAACAGTGTTTCTTCCAGAATTTTTCTCCGGGAAGAGGGAGGGGGATGCAAATCGAAAGTTTGAGGTGGGGGTGCAAATCGAAAGTTTGAGGGGGGTGCAAATCACAAGTTTGAGGGGGGGGGGGGGTTGCAAATCGAAAGCTTGTCCCCGGGTAAAAATTGGAACCCCCCCCTTGAGACGATCCTGGCTACGCCACTGTATATATATATATATATATATATATATATATATATATATATATATATATATATATATATATATATACTGTGTAAAAAGTAGGCCATAACTTACATTATAAAGATCTAATTCTAATTTAGACTTTTTTTAGACTAGGCCTAACTCACCTTACTAATCTGTAATTGGAATGTGTAAGTTTCATATTTAGGCCGGGCCTAATTTGCTTATGACAGTCGCTCAGCCTAGCTAATAGACAGCCTTATAGATCTTGAGTATTAGGCCTATAGACAGACTCCAGGCCTACAGAACAAGAGAAAACACTTGCTTGAAGCACAGTGAGATCATTAACACATCACTCTGGATGGGTGTGATGAAATCTAAGGACTAGCTTCATCTGGTGTAGGCATAGTCTGAAACATTGCTAGCCTACGCTAGCAGCGCGAAACTCATTTGGCCGGGGGCAGAAATAAAAGTTGTGTTATTTTAAGAAGAGGGGCGGGCCGGGCTTAGGTAAACAAAGTCAGCTCAGGACACGACGGCGGCTGTCAACGCCATTGGTCGGATTGTTTTGACTGTCTGTGTCAGTGAGCAGCCGGGGGTATTGTTGCTTTCTGACAACTCTCTCAGATTATATAAAAAATTTTTTTAATAAAATAGATGTTGACAGTTTTACAGTAACTAGGGTAAAGTAACTACTCAGACCAGTGGCGTAGCCAGGAATTAATCATAGGGGAGAGGGTTAAACTAGCCCCCCCCCACCTCAGGACACAGTCCTGTCTACGCCACTGCTGACCTCCAGTGTTTCCTCTAGACTTATTTCTCCCGGGGGGAGTGGCTCTCCCCCGCAGAGATTCATGGAAGAAACACTGCTGAACTCGATAGATAGCCTCGATTGCTCGATGCTTCCTCTTCGTGTGGCTCCACATAGAAACAGTTTCAAACAGGCACTTACAAGTGACAACGATATATTGGTGTTACATGTAAGATAGCTGCTTTAAAGTGGTTCTTTTGTCGGGGTGAACAGGTGCTACCATTGACATACACTATTTATCTACTTGGTGTGAGTCCAGTACGAATATATATGGGGGTCATCCATAAATGACGTCACACTGATAGGGAGGAGGGTGGTCCGTAATTTTGTGACGATGTGTGATGTGGGGGAGGGGTTCAGATGTTGCAACGTCACATTTTTGCATTATAAAAAAGCAATGTTAGAATACGAATTTTAGACGTTATTTCGCGTTTTAGATAAATGTTTTAATAAATTATAATAGTTTAGACAAGATTTTAGAAAAATATCGATGTTTAAAAAAAATTCAACCGCAATTTTGAGGGGGGGGGGGGGGTTGTAGGTTGAGGTGTGACGTCATTTTAGGGAGGGGTCCGGCTATTTGTGACGACGTGTGACGGAGGGGGGGGGGGAGGGAAAAAATCGTCAAAAGAAAGCGTGACGTCATTTATGGATGACCCCTCTATCTATCTATCTATCTATCTATCTATCTATCTATCTATCTATCTATCTATCTATCTATCTATCTATCTATCTATCTATCTATCTATCTATCTATCTATCTATCTATCTATCTATCTATCTATCTATCTATCTATCTATCTATCTATCTATCTATCTATCTATCTATCTATCTATCTATCTATCTATCTATCTATCTATCTATCTATATTGTTGTGCATGGGTAAAGTAAAATTTGCCTTTCAAATCTTACGGTCTATGGGGCAAGTGAAGTAGAGTTCACTTGTTTCTGTAGCATGGGTAACGTCAAGAAAATTTACAGGGTGCAAACGGGGGGGGGGGGGGGGGGGGGGTTGGGGGTGCGGGGAATCTTAAACTAAAATTTGTCATGCTTAATAATTAAAGTAAGTTAAAGATAGAAACGTCAAATTCTCTGTGAAAATTTTAAAAGCCATTAGGCCTAAAGCGTACTAATTTTTCTACTTTTGGGTTTTTGGTTCCTCTAATCCGAGCTACGCCCCTGGAAAGCCGTTGGGTCTAACCCAATTTATGAGCGTGGAGTATTTAATATTTTGTTAGATCTAGGAATAACTGGCTACAGTAAACAGCGTGAGCAGGGGGGTGCAGAAGGTTGTGTCAACATTGGAGGGTCGGGGTGTTTCGATGTTTGTTGAGAGAGATCTAGGGCTGTTAAACAATCAGATCTAAGGCTGTTAAACCATTAACATTAGGACTGTTAAACCATAAGAACAAGAAATGTATAACCAACAGATATAGGACTGTTAAACCATTAACATTAGCACTGTTAAGCCATTAGAACAAGACATGTTTAACCAACAGATCTAGGGCTGTTAAACCATTAACATTAGGACTGTTAAACCATAAGAACAAGAAATGTATAACCAACAGATATAGGACTGTTAAACCATTAACATTAGCACTGTTAAGCCATTAGAACAAGACATGTTTAACCAACAGATCTAGGGCTGTTAAACCATCAAAATTAGGATTGTTAAACCATCAGATCCAGAATTGTTAAACCATACTGTTATACCATTAGATCCAGGGCTGTTAAACCATCAGATCCAGGGAAGTTAAACCATTAACATTAGGACTGTTAAACCATTAGAACAAGAAATGTATAACCAACAGATATAGGACTATTAAACCATGAGATACATAGGACTGTTAAACCATCTGATCCAGAATGGTTAAACCATCAGATCCAGGACTGTTAAACCATTAAAATTAGGACTGTTAAACCATCAAAGCCAGGGCTGTTAAACCATCAGATCTAGGACAGTTAAACCATTAGAATGGGGAGTGTTAAACTTAACTATCCAACCCATCAAAAAACAGGGCTGTTAAACCATTGGATCCACTGCTTTCAAACATGGGAATCCTTTGTTTGACCTATAGCCACACATCCCCCCTCAGTATTAAAACTCAATGTATAATTAAAAGCTTTATGTCCGTCTTCATTAACCAAGCTATTTCACAATGTTCTTGTTACACTTAAAAACTGTGGTTTATCAACACACAGCAGTCCAAATATTAGAGGTCTGCAACACTATGTTTAGAGAAAACTCGATTTTGTGTATCTACATACCTTATGGGTTAACTTAGATTATATTAATAATATGTTTTCATTTATTAGCTATCAACATATGTACCAATATGTCCCTGATTTATATATGATAATGATAGTAAAGTAATATGCATAGATCTGACTGTATGCTCAAATATGGGAAAAGTTGTATGGATTTTAAGAAATTAAATTATGTATATGTTTCATCTGTTATATATTTTTATTTTATCCCAATGAATAAAAATAATTACTTATTTATCCGTAATTAATTTTATAAATTGTTATTAAAAAAAACTTTTTTAAAGAACCCTTATATTACCCATGACCAAAAATTTCAAATAAATTTTTGTCTAATACACATTTCACAGCCCTAGAACATGAAAAACAGAAACAAAGCAGCAACATATAAAGGATAAAAAAATCAAACACATTATAATTAAATATGAAATTTTTTATAAAATATAGTAAGTTCTTGGTATGTGATACTAGTGTTCTAGTATAGTTTGATACAAACAATAATATGGCTTTGGTAAAAAAATTTTAAAAATTCACAGTAGGCCCCTACCAGAATTATATAATTAGAAACAAGATAGCTCTAGAAATTTGGTAAATGAAAGGTTAATTTAAAAAACATACAAGAACAGATTAAATATTTGATATTAATTTCAATAAATGCCTTGTTGATAAGTGATTAGACACATTTTATGTGTATGATGTTGTCATTGTGTGGACTAAGTTCTCACTTTTTAAAAAAAAATTGATAAATGTAGACCTATCAGAAGTCTATGAATTTTTGTTTTGTAATGTTTATGATTTTATCATTGTAAGTTGTAAAGTTGCATAGCTATGTAGCAGGAGTAACATGGAGGCTTGTGTCTTCTTCATGTATCTAACAGCGAACAAACACCCCACCACCCCAAATAAAAAGCTCAGACGCTAGGGCCTACAATGTATACGGGGAAGAACATAATGTGTAAGTTTCATACCTTTATACTTATACCTAGTCTTAACAATACCACCAGCAACAAAAATAAATTAGTGAATTGATAATTGAAAAGTTTTTAATAATGTATCAGGATGATAAGGACATTTTAAAATCTTAGTTAACAATTTCTTACCAATGCCAGGAGAGCTAGTGATGGCATTTCTTCCAGCTGAATGCTTGCAGAAAATAACAAAATATGGTAACCATGTTCATCAAACAAAAAACATTGGCTTGCTATTATATGCACGGTTGAGTGTCGGCGTGGTCGAGCCGGTAAAGCTTATGGTTGCTAAACTGAAAATTCTCGAGTTCGAATTCTCTGGCAGATGCGGCTCTTTAGCTGGGGACAGCAACTCTTCTAGGAGAGACAACTCCAAAATCAAACAGCTGCTGCCTTGTGGTTTGTTCTTTGTTGGACAAAGGCTATGGGAGCAAATCCAAAAAGAAAAGCAGGCCTATATGGGGCATAACAAGTTGACTAAAATTAAGAATGCAGAAAAAGAAGAAAGAATATGCACAGTTATAGGTAAATATAAAGACTATTTAGTTTACGTAAGAAAATTATAATAATACGTGCATAAATTCAGATTTTTGAGCTACATATCCTTGCTAGATGGAATATTAATATTATTATACAGTGTAGAAAAACTATATATAATTTGTTGATCTTGTTTAAACATTTATTTACAATATAGTTAGAAATATTTAAAAACATTGCATATAAAAATAAGCAGCCAATAAATAATTCATGATACCACATAAAAAATGTTACTGTTGCGGGTGTGTGCGTATATGTCTGGTCAAAGAATACCGATCTCTGAACATGAAATCACAGAAATCACATTTATATTTCTTGGGTGCGTGGCAGCGCTTGTGGTCGTTCAACGCTTTCCTCCAGGGGAAGGCTTTGCCGCATATTTCACAACGAAAAGGTCTCTCTATTAAATGTATCTCTTTATGCGCCAACAAGTCATTTTCATCAGTGAACACCAATGTACACATCCTACATTTGTATCGCTTGACTTCTTCTGTCAGATGCCTGGCAAACGAATGAGTTTTTAAATGGTTTTTCAGTTGGATGTTTTGTTTAAATACAGCAAGGCAGTAGCGACACTTAAAAACCTCTTTACTGGTGTGGCTTTGTGCATGCAGGAGAAGTGCTTCTTCGTGGTAGAAGACTTTGTCACAGACAGCACATCTGAGAATCTGCTCCCCTGAGTGGGAACTTAAATGCAAGTCTATTGAGTATTTGGAGCTGTAGTTCTTGCCACAAAGTGAGCAAGTAAAAGGCTTTATATGAGTGACTAAATGCAGCTTCATGTTATCCAGCCTGTTGAAGGAAGTTCCGCAGAGCTCACACTTGTAGCGCTTGACTTTAGTGTGCACCAGCATGTGCTTGCTGAGTCCATTCTTCCATTTGAACGCTTGACCACACAGGTGACACAGGTGAGGCTTGTCTTCTGAATGGGTCACAAGGTGAGAGTTCAAAGAAGAGTTCTCTTTAAAAACTTTGTAGCAAATAAAACAACGGAAAAATTTATCTTCCTTATTCTTGTGGGTTTGAACATGGTTCCTTAAGCCGCTTGCGCTTCTGTATGTCTTGGAACAGAGACGACATTTGTGCGGACGTTCCCCATGCATGAGAAGGTGAGATAAATAATCATTTTTATACTGAAACCTCTGACCGCAAGTGGTACATCTGTACCAGTCTATTGGCAAGTGAAACTTTTTATTCACAGAGATTTCTTTAACAGGCGAAAAGTTGTTTAAATTTCCGCCTGCATGGAGCTTTCTGTGGGCAGTAAGGCTTCTGCTGTTTAAAAATTTCATGTCGCACTCTTCACACGGGAAAACAGCCACTCCAGAATGTTGTCCTATGTGTAATGTCATCCTATAAGCATCATTGAACCCCAAATTACACAAACAGCATCTGAACAAGACCGTCTCTGAGGGTAAGGTGTTTATAATGGCCAAGCTTTTTGCATCAGGTTTGACATCTATCATGTCATCCAGATGACTGGTGTTTTCCAGGTAACTGCCATTGTCCAAGTCGCCAATAACTTGATCTGGATTGAAATAATCTTCCTTAGAAAAACTCACTTGGTGAAAAATGTTATTCTGTACATCTCCGTCAGCAGATTTATCCTCTTCACCAAGAGAATAAGAACTTGCATCACATTCTTCATTTGATTCATCACCGTCTGTGAGGTCAGTATTTTTTAACTGAACTCTTCTGCTGCAGAGCACAGCTTCCTCCATGAGTGATGAGCCACCATAGTTAGGTGTGAGAACTATTTGATTACATAGCGTATTTGTAACGCATTCTTTCTTATCCATGTTTTTTTTATTTTATCACACACACAAAAGTAACAAATTCAAGTTGCAGCCCAGGCATCCATTGATTGATAGTAAAGATTGTATCCACCTGCAATATAAAATAATTTTTATTATAATATAATAGTTATATGACCATTGCTTATAATATATAAAGGCTAGGGAACTAATTTTTGCTAGAACAACCAAAACTATATTTTAAATGCCAAAAACTCTTTCTTGTATTTTTAAAATTAAGAACTAAATTTCAAACAGATTTTAAAATAACAGGTCTTCATTTTATAACTAATAATCTATGTATTTCAACCGAGTGGCTTAGAGGGAACATTGTTCACATCTAAATCAATCTGAACTCACAGTGACCCTAACTAGACCGTATCGGTATTTTTCTTGCTCTGATGAGAAAACGTGAGCGGGCGATCAATGGAACAACAATGTTTATAATTGGCGTGTTTAAAAACCTAAATCTAGAAAAGATATATAATCTATTACAAAAAAAAAAACAATTGAAAAAAAAGACACCTAAGCAAACAACTCTATCGAGATAGAACATTAAACTTAGTTAAATACATTTTAGGCCTACTGCTCGCATAAACGATAGCTTAGATAGGATCCGATCCCATAACTGATTGACATTCGTGAGGCACTACGTTCTCCACTTGGAAACTACGTCTTAACGATAATTAATAAATATTCAACGATTTTGTGGTAAAACTCCATTTTAGCGTATTATATTCTCCGCTTCTCGTTTAACCTCCAGTTGATCGTGTTTTATTATAATGACCGAAACATACCAAAACATTAGGAAAACATGATTTATTTATTTGTTTTGTATTTTTGTTTTAACAAACGAAAATTTAAAAAACATGACTTATTTATTTGTATTGTATTTTTTTTTTTACAAATGAATAACAATATAGGGGTAAAACTCCATGTTAGCGTATTTTATTCTCCGCTTCTCGTTTACCTCCAGTTGAGCATATTTTATTATAATAACCGAAACATACCAAAACATTAGGTAAACATGATTTATTTATTTGTATTGTATTTTTGTTTTAACAAATGAATAAAAATGAATAAAAAAACAAAGAGACTGACTTCGTTTTAGATTTTAATAATTAACTTTTGTCAAAACTTGAGAAAAATTGAAATTTAGAATATTGAATGAGCTAGGTTCGTGTGTCAGTTAGGATTTTCATGGCAATGGGTGAAGTTACTAGTAACTGTACCTCACAATTGCAAGGAGACGTTTGTATTGTTACAAGTATCTCCCACAAATGATATTTAAACTTTTATGAACTCACAATGACCCCAAAACTGAGGCTAACACAATTTCAAACAGCTATTGCCTAAGCTATGACGTATGCTGATAATTTAAGTCAATGTGAACCCGCGACCATGTAAGGATTTTCCTCCCGCTATCACACGAAATAATTGGAACTGTTCTAATGCTTTTTTTATCTTTTCTAATTAAAAATTACATTAATAAAAAAATAAGTAAATCTAGCTCTAGTCCTAGTGTGGTAAGTGTTTTCCTAACGTTTTTGTGTGTTTCGGTTGTGTTTGTAATAAAATACGCTCAACTGGAGATGAACGTGAAGCGGGGAATAAAATACGTTAAAATGCAGTTTTACGGGTGTGGGGAAATTGCGAGACGCGAAAAGCGAAATGGCGAGGCGGGAAAATGCGAGAAGGGCGCGAAAACGGTCGGTCACGTGACTTTTTTGTCTCGCATTTTACCACAAGCCGATACTTACGCTGGGTGGTGTTGAAATGCGAAGATTTCTGCGAAAAATTTACCACACCCGATTTTCAGTGGTATTTGGTCCAGACTTCAAAGACGTTTCGTTTACATTGTTAAAACTTCCGATTTTTCCGTCGCTAGACATACTGATGATTTGTCAACTCCCCCCATCTTTTGTGTCGACTTAGAATACCACCTTGTTCGAAACCGACGGAAATACCGCCGACGATAGATCAACTTCTGTCTTTTGTGTGGAACGCCGAGGCCGCCTGATTTACCGTCTTTGAAGATCGCCGTGCCCGGATCGGCTGCCGCCGCAAACATATTTTCTATTGTTGCATAGAAATTTTGTATTATAGCCGCCGCCTACGATTTTTTTCTAGCTCTTTTTTACCATATAAATCTAAGCACAAGGAAATGCCTACATCATTTGGATACAACAAAATAAAGTGACGTCACCGATATTATCAGTTGCTCGTGCAATATCGTAAGCTATGGGCCTACTTCAAATATTTTTAAAACCAAGTTGAACTTATCTGAATTTTTTGGTTTTGGTGGTGGTGTTATTTGGGGTCTTCCATAAATGACGTCACATTCGTAGGGGGGGGGGGGGGGGTCTGTAATTTTATGACGATGTGTGATGAGGGGGAGGAGGGGGGGTTAGATGTGAAGTCACACTATAAAAAAGCAATGTTAGAAAAAGAATTTTAGACGAGGTGTGTTTGAGGACTGTTTCAGAAGATTTTGTTTGTAAATTTTGTTTGTAATTAAAATTACTTAATAAAAAAATAAATTGCACTTTTTAGAATTGTTTATACTTTTACACTTTTTGCAAGTACAAAAATCCATAAATAGATGTTGCAAAATATCTCTCCTGCTGACAAGATTATACCCATTCACAATGACACAGCTCACGTTTGTATAAACATGAGCGGGCTAGATTTTTAAATTAATGCCGACTGAGACGGGATTTTCCTCTCGCTAACGAGAGCGGGCGATGACAGCAGCACAGCAGCGATGTTAGGATTTTTAAATAGATAGATCTAGATATAGATCTATCTATCTTCTTAGTATCTAAATAAAAAATAACAACATACAACACTCGTGTGTGTTAAAGCGTATGGCTAAATGCTTGTTTATTTTAAAACAAAAAAAAAATAATTTAAATAAATAAAGATGGAAAAAAAAGAAAGAAAAAAACTTTTTTCGCAAAAAGTGTCTCGCTATTTACCCTTAATTCCGCAGGTATGTCTCGCATTACCTTCTCGCATTTTCCCGCCTCGCCATTTCGCTTTTCGCGTCTCGCAATTTCCCCACACCCCAGTTTTACGCAATATAGGGACCCGGGTCCTAATGCGGCCGGGGATTAATAATTAGATTCTATAAAGTAATTTAAGTTGGACCAGCGTCCGAATAGTTAATAGTAGAATAGCCACTTCCTACTTTAGTACTTTTTATTTTAAACTTTACAGTAACTTTACACGACACCGACACTACACTTCTACAACCTCACTAGTCTACACTGTACTCATATAACTCTGCATTACAGACTACACTTACACTGTTAGTATTACGCTTAGTAAGTTTATTACTTTGAAGGATTACAGTCCAACGTTTGACTTTTCTCGCTTAGATATGTTGGCCTACATAGGAAATCTTTTTTGAGAAGTTTAGAATAGATTATAGATATAGAAAGCAACGGGTTTTAAAAAACATTAAAACCTGTTTACTACGACACAATCATTGTTTAAAAAATAAATTTCTTAACTTTTGTTTTGATATTTGCTTCAGAAATAATAAATATACATATACTTGTTACAATTAGTTTTTATTTATGCAATATAATAAAATGTTTTCTTTTAAATATAATAATACACCATTTTAACGTAAGTCCTAGATTATAAAAGTTTTGGTTGAGTATTGAAAAAGTGTAGGATACATGTAGGCCCATCTTTAAGTAATATTAAATATAAACAGGCATCTTAATAATGTTGAATAACCATAAACGTTTATAGTTTTACTAATAGTTTAACTATTATTAAGTATTTAAAGTTAGGAAATATTATAGGCGTCTACTTATTTTATTTTTGTTGGATAAAAGGGAGTTAACAAAAGCTAATTCAATCAATCTAATATTTTAATTTGTTATCTCTCTTTGCACGTTTTTCAAAAACACGTTTTAATGTTGGAATTGTTCCAATTATGATGCAGGTTTTCAAATAAAGCATATGTAACACATATGGTTACCAGCCAAAGGGGGATAAAAATATGAAGTTTTTATTCATTGGTGCGAATGAATGTTTTTGCGAGAGATATGAGAGATATGACGAATGCATGTTAGATGACGCGGATGAAAGAGAGTGAAGTTTTGCCATAGGAACGGGTAGTTATGGTATGCAAGCTATGTAGTTCGGACTAGGGAGAATGTGAGAGATACTTCGTGTAATGTCGATATCAAGGATAGTTTTATGTTTATTTATACGAGAATAGTAGTTGAATAATTATTGACCAAGAAAATAATAGGCATTGTGTAAAGCGATTATCGCCTGTATCGTGTTGAGGGGAATGCAAATGGTAGTGGTCAGAGGCGTAGCTAGGGGGGGGCGGGGGGGGGCGGCCGCCCCGGGCGCCGACCCTATGGGGGCGCCAAAAGGGGTGGGAAAAATTTTTTAAAGCTGATTTTATGCTGCAGTTTTGAATTATAAACTGTCTAAGTTAAGAAATGTAATGGCTACACGCATTTACATACTGATTTAACTGTTTTCTATCTTGATTTCTTAATGTAAAACATATACTCTTAAGAAACAGTGACCGGCAAAACCGCTTTGAAGCTTTTCCTAGATGGGGGGGGGCGCTTTTTCGAGACTTAAAACGGAAGAATTTACACTAGATTGTTGAGTCGATAAACGTTACCACTATTAAAAGAAACCAATTGTATTAAAACGTATTGTACGATTGTTGAACTGTAAAATACGTTAGTGACTTTTATCAAGATGGTGCAGGGGGGCGCTTTTAGGCTAAATAAAATAGCAAAATTACACAGGATTCTGAGTAAACAACCTTTAGCTCTCAGAAAGAAACGAATTGTACTGTGCATTGTATAATTGTGTAACATTTTTAAAAAAAAAAAGTTAGTTACGTTAAAAACCGCTCTACAAACTTTGTCCAAGATGGTTGTGATTAGTGTGTGTGGGGGTGGGGGGGGGGGCGCTTTTTTCGCTAACATAAATCGCAAGTATTTGTACTGGATTGGTGAGTAGATAACTCTCTTAACACTTAGTAAAGAAACCAAGTGTATTAACGCGCAATGTACAATTTCAATAGCCAGTTTTGTTAAAAAAAAGACGCGACTAGTTCTTTGTAAGATTCTTACGATTCTCTCAACTTCAACGTGAGAGATCAGATACTTTTGATCAGTGTTTCTTCCAGACTTTTTTCTCCGGGGGGGCACTTGAAATCTTCGGGGGGAGGCGGTAAACTTTCTTCGGGGGGGGGGGGCGGACACTGTTAAAAGTATATATTTTCTATATATAAATTATATAAATTTCATTTCGTTCGGGGGGGGGGGGGCGTAAAAAATTTTCCGGGGGGCTTCGCCCCCCCGAAAAGATGCCTGGAAGAAACTGTGTGCGAGAAGGCAGGGCAAATCTGCGAAATCCAAGTCTACGAGCTGTTAACATCCGTTGGATTCCAGTTTTTTTTCTCTAGCTTGTTTTGTCATACCATCAACCAATCAACGAAATACCCATGTCGTATTCCAATGTGAACAATAAATATTTCTGATAACTTCTTCTTGTATGTCACTTGTGTGTCCTTACTCTAACAAACTTCGAATCCAACTATGTACCATATCACAACAGAAATCGTTCAAAACTAGAACATAAAAGGCTGGTCTAAACATATTAGCGTTAGCTACAAACTACCCTCTAACACAGATCAGGCTTATTTTTTTTTTACTGACATTACTAATCTTTCGCAAAAAAAGTTAAACGCATCTTAATGGGAATTAAATTGTCGTAAAGTTTTAAGGAATGAAAATCATACAATGTAATTATTAAACCTTGTCCGGACTGTAGCATACACGCTTACACACACGCTTACACACACAAATACACTCTTACCCACACACAAGCTTATATATAAACACACTATCACACACACATAATTATACACACACACACACACACATATATATATATATATATATATATATATATATATATATATATATATATATATATATATATATATATATATATATATAAGCGGGGGGGGGGCGCCAAATTGAAAGTTCGCCCCGGGCGCCGGGAAGGGTCGCTACGCCTCTGGTAGTGGTACGCTTTAAATGGTTGTAGATCACGTGATCAAACACGACACTCTTACAGCAACCCTAACAGTCATGTATAAATGTGTCATCTAGTCGATATAGGTATTTGTGCTAAATTTCTCTTTTGCACATTTTTCGTTGTTTTTTCTGGTTTCGCATTTTTCTGTTTGCGCTTTTTTCCGTTTGCGCTTTTTTCTGTGTGCGCTTTTTTCTGTTTGCGCTTTTTTTCTGTTTGCGCTTTTTTCCGTTTGCGCTTTTTTCTGTGTGCGCTTTTTTCTGTTTGCGCTTTTTTCCGTTTGCGCTTTTTTCTGTTTGCGCTTTTTTCCGTTTGCGCTTTTTTCTGTTTGCGCTTTTTTCCGTTTGCGCTTTTTTCTGTTTGCGCTTTTTTCTGTGTGCGCTTTTTTCTTTTTGCGCCTTTTTCTCTTTGCGCTTTTTTCTCTTTGCGCTTTTTTCCGTGTGCGCTTTTTTCTCTTTGCGCTTTTTTCCGTGTGCGCTTTTTTCTGTTTGCGCTTTTTTCTGTGTGCGCTTTTTTCTTTTTGCGCTTTTTTCTCTTTGCGCTTTTTTCTCTTTGCGCTTTTTTCCGTGTGCGCTTTTTTCTCTTTGCGCTTTTTTCCGTGTGCGCTTATTTCCGTTGCGCTTTTTGTTTTGCGCTTTTTTCCGTTGCGCTTTTTTCCGTTGCGCTTCTTTCTGGGAACCGTTTATTTTTATGTTTTTTTTTTGTATTTATATTATTAATTTTTTAAATATTATTGATTTAATACACTTCTTTTTTATAAAATGTCATTTTTTTAGTAATTACTTATAAAAAAATAATAATTAAGAGAAGTAATTGCTTTTAATTTGTTTAAAATACAAATCTATTAAAAGGAGTTTATGATCACCCCTATTTGACTATTTTTTTAAAAAGGGAAATAAGTCATGGAAGTGGTTTGAACATTTGCTTATCTTTGATAAGTTTAATTGTAGGAGAAAAACACGGCTTTCACGGTGTTTTAAAAACAAAGGGAAAAAGAATATACAAGAGCGTGGGGTGGTGTCTATAGAATAAAGATAATCGAACCGCAGTTACGGTATTTTTTTACAAAACAACCATCAAGTCAAAAATGAAAGAAAATTTACTTTTTTATTATGGTCGGCTCTGGGCCCCTAAATGGCGTGGGCCCCCCCCCCCACTCCGCATTGCGGGGTCTGGCGGCACTGTAGTTCCGCCCCTGCTAGGCTTATTAATTGTGAATGTTATGTTCATTAATAATGTTAAATTGTTTTTTTAGAGTGGTCTCCCTTTTTGGATTTTCCCGATGATTTTTTTTTTACCGATAAGCTGTAATAAGTGGGTCACATAACCGAACCGAGGCGAGACTATGTAAACAAAGGAAGTTAGGAATGTTAAGGACTTCTTAAGGTCACGGATAAAAAGCTTAGCAGGACACTGAGACAATGTCGTAATCAGGCGCACTGTATGAAAGGTCGCGGAGATTATGTAACAGTGGCGTAGGCAGGAGTGTAGTGGTAGTGGGGGGGGGGGGATTGTAGAGAATTTATGAAATCCTCCCACGACCAATTCCTCGGCCGCATCACTGTGATGAGATGAAAAATAGGGTACACTATAGATAAGTAAATAAGTTTCAATTTCAGATGTCGGTTCTAGTATAACAAGAGCCAAAAGAAAATCTAAAAAAAAAAAAAAATTAAAATGAAATCAAGTAACTGTTGAAGTTTTAGACTGTGGGGTAGTCGTAACTGAATAGGGGGCAGGTGTTTGATGTGGGGGAGGGGAGAAGGGAAGCACCCTCCCTCCCCCTTCTCACACTCAATCAATAATGCTTCTTGCTTTGCATAATCATAAGACATTCTACAAAACCAATTTCCCCATCACGGATAAAAATAAATAATAAATAGATCTAAATATATATATATATATATATTTAATTTGTTGATTTTTTGAAGGGGGTGGGATTACGGGTGAGGGGGGGGGTATACTCTGCTTGTTTTTGTGTATTGTTATGTATTTTAGTGTAGCTCTACACTTTACTCTACGGATAAGTCTTTTTTTTTTTTAAATTAGGTCTAGTATTTTTAATATTCAGTTTTTCTATTAGTAGTTATTTTACCCAGAAAAAGGATCAACTAAACTGCATGAAAAGCAAATTAGAAATTAACTATATTTTATTTACCTTACTACTATAGATTTCGAAGTCCAAAGTTCATTGATGTATACAGTATACGAGATACAAAATTCTAAGGGCCTTGAACTCTAAATCCAAAAAATTCCTTTCGCCGTCACTTTGCATTCTAAATATAGCATGCGGGCGCAGTGACTTTCCGTGGGAATGTTTTGTCTGGTGTTTTCGTAC